CCCCAAAACCCCAAAACCCCAAAACCCCAAAACCCCATCATATAGTTAATCAATATGTAGGTGGGAGATATCAATAATTAAGATAATTAATTCAGTTAAAAAATTGAACATATTCTTGATTGGCACTTATTACAGGTTATTGATTAGATGAATCCCTAGAGGATGTTTTTACATTTATAACTGGATGATCACTGTTGTACACCTAGTTATTTGTATTTAGACTTCTTTTATGTTTATTATGATGATCATTGTTGATTGTTTAAGTTTAATTTGGGTTCTTTTTTAGTTAGCCCTTCATTTTATCTAGAACCTTCATATAAGCAGACTAAACAACTTAAGTTGCTTGAGGTTCAATTCTTCTATAATCAAAATTTGATCGATTAGAAGATTCTAGAGAAGAGGTTAAGGTGTGTGATACTCTAGATCTATCATCGCTAGCCTTTTAGTTCACTTACTGAGTTCTTTATCTATTTGAGAGCAAATTTTTAACATCCAGAACCCCACTCTGTTAAGAATTTCTTCCTTAAGTACTTGTACTATTCCCATCAGAATCATTATTCTTAAGTTTGATATTGACATGATTAGATTCTTTGGTCGTTCGAGCACCAATGAATCTATGGTTAACAGTTGTCAGTGGAGATATTGATCGAATCGGCTACGGTTTGTAAAGAACTAAAGTTGATGAAAAATCTTTAGGCTAATTTGGTGATTAACTCTAAGTAGACAGATGATGATGCTTCATTGTACCTTGCTTTTAATCACTATGTTTTGTATTCACACTTGATACTGAATCAGGTCTGTATTAGTATTCCCTTTAAATTCTTAGTTTTTATTGCTACTCTAGTATTTAATTTGATACTTCATCAGGCTTTTATTGAGAATTTGGACGTCTTATAGATAATTACTCCTTTTCAAGAGTCTGAATTAGATTTTTCATCTTTGTCTTAAGGGAGATGGGAAGCTATATTTGTTAATCACTTGCCAGTCTTCGCTAGGTAATATCAACTTATCTATTTTCTGCATTTTTCCTTGTGCTGCTGACAATTTCATCCTCTGTCAGGCCTAATTCCTCCTATAGCCATTTATGATTTTTTACTTGATCTGGATAATACTATTTGATTTGATTCTACAGATGATTCAGCAATAGCATTTAAGGCTTATTGAGCTTTTTGAGCAGAACATTAAGAGTTGAAGGAGAGTCTGATGAATTTTCTGATTCGCCATGACTTTTTCTAGTAGCCCCTCCAGCATTAATATTACTACTATTTATAGTGTTTTAGTTTATGCTGGAAGTTTATAATTTATGAAATGCTTAGTTTTGTTAAGATAATGCAGATGAATTTTATTTTTTGTGTAATTTAGTTTCCTCTTTGAAATCTTTATTAATTTTTGTAGTTAAGGTCTAATACCATTAAGCACTTGACACTTCTTGAATATTTTCTAGTTAAGATGAAGGCCTTTTATCTACTGTACTAGTTATCGTCTGCATTTTCTTTTTTTGCTAAGTACTATTTATGTGAAATTATTATTGTTAGGATGAAATTTCACTATATCTATCTGAGCTATATTGAATAGTCCCACAGATGAATCCGATCATATACTTATGAGGATCTGGAAACCTTAAATATTCTTCTAAAGTTTCAATATTTACACTATTTGTTTATTCTCTACTTGGAGTCATTGATCTTTCAAGGTCTACTGATTTCCCACTATCATTATCATCTTTAAAAGAAGGAAAGGACCAATATCGCCTTAAATAAGGATTAATTTTGTCATCTTTATAATTTCTGATTTTTTCCAAGTAAGTAATATCATTTTATAGTCTTTGTTTAATAGGCTCAGGTAGAATATGGTTCAAACACACCTTCCCATTAGCAGGAGAAAATGCAAATAACTCAGTGAGCGCATTTTAGTTAAAATCAGAATTAAAAGTTAACTCACACATTAGTCTTCCTGATAATTTTCTAATTCCTAGAATAAAATTTATTGGCAGTAGATATTACTTTGACTTTAACTTTTGTTAAAGAAACTGTATATTTTCATGAGTCCACTGTTTCCAATATACTCAACAAGTATTCTTTCCTTTGATTTCTCTTTTTTGCGAACATTTCTATTATAGTCAAATTAATCTCTCATATATGATATCGGAATTTATTGTTTTACTTTATTATGGAGAAAAGTGCATGTATTAGCAAGCTTTCCTCTTTTTAGTGATTGCTTGAGTAGGACTAAACCACCTGGCAAGCTTCATTTAAAGGCATATCTTGAGTTCTTCCTGCATTCACTTGTCTTAATACTGCCATTATTTTTATTGGTTCTTGTATGAATGTATTAATTCCTTTTAATGAAAATAAAATATTTTATTATAAAATCCAATCACAATCAGATCAGCTGATTATTTTTATAAATGGGGTTTTGGGGTTTTGGGGTTTTGGGG